TTTCAGAATGAAATAAAGTTAAGAACACGAAGAACAACTAAATTAGAGACTCCTAACAATCTCCAATTCGGATTCCTTCTTCCTCCACCAAGAACATGGATCAAATACGATCCTTTCTCAAAAAAACCCTAAACCGAAATAGGTTTCAGAAACTGGAATGACACGCTAACTTAGAAAACACACAGACAACGGAGATTACGTCAGAATCAGGATCAGAAACCCGATCTGAAAACTAGACAGAGAGATCTAACCAATGGTATGCTGATCGTCTTTCGATTCCTTCTGGTTCGACGAAAATCCTCCTTCGAAGTGGACTGATCGCAGATCCGAAACTACACAAACCTCTCACAGTAAAACAACGATAACTCCTAGAATACACATCCGATTGACAAACCGTTTTCTCCCATATCAAGATCAGAGAGTGGAGAACTTAATATGAAAGTTTCGTTCTGATCCTATCTGTTCTTACTGGCCGTTACTCTCCTCTTCTAAAACCGGACAGAGCTGCCTCCGAAACTTTAAGAAACAAGAACACACAAGGATCTTTTTCTCTTTTCTCTTCTCTCTGGAACTCTCTGGAAACCCAAAACTCACTAAAAAGTTCGGAAAAACGCGGCCCCTTCCTTTTATGACGAAGCCCTACGGTTTTCCCTTAACCCAAACCGCCAAACCGACGATTAAATTAAACTAACTGGTTCAAATCAACCTTCTAAAATTTTCAATTTTGGTTCACGGACGTTACCTCTTCGATTAATTTGACCTTTTCTCTCTAACACTTTTACGTTAATATGAAGCCAAAATTTAAGTTGATAATATATTTGAAAAGCAAAGTCAACTGACACAGAAAACTACTTCTTTCTAAAGATAAACAAAAGCTTCAGTACTTAATGCTGATAGGTACTATAAGGCCAAATGGAACACGGCCATTGGTAGATAAGTTGAGTCAATCATGTCTTTTAAGAAGTTTCAAGATTAGGTCGTCTAACCTTCTTTTTCTTTTTTCTTCAGATCATCACATATCGGTAAGGATTTTTTGTGGCCGAAATTTCTCGACGATGTTGTTAAGCTCAAGGCAGTAGGATAACGTAAGTGACCACAAATATTTTGACCATGAATCCAGAGAAGCCTAACTCGCTTAAGCCGATGTATTTTGTCATATTGTATTTACATGCTTTATCGTCGTACTTACATATGGTATTTATCTATACAACTAGTTAGAAATCGTCTTGTAAAAAAATGAAGAGAGCGACAGGCTTTCTTCCAAACTACACTGTTCAAGTTGGGGCGTCGTTGTGTCTTCGGACGATGATTGAGGCCAAAACTGCTGAAAAATGGAGTTGCTACCAAATAATTCGTTTGATTATTAATGGCTAGTGAAAAGGTAGAGAAAAATAAGTAAAAAAAGAATTAGTTATTCATCAAAAATAGTGGTAATCACTAATCAAGTTCAATAATTCACTCAAAATATCTATTTTTTAGCAGAAATAGAGTTTTTTTTTTTTGTGATTTTGAATCATCTTTGACCATTCGTAAAAGCTTTCAATGGCTAGATTTCTATCAATCCTAAAAGATTAACATGAGTTTCGGCCATGAGTTCTATTCGCTAAGAAAAAAAGTGTACATCAATGTTGCCTGGATTGTTGACCAGATTCCAGTGTCTACATTCATCTCTTCCTCTCTTTCCTCACTTTGTTTCTTTTAGCTTTTCACCTTTTGTTCTCTCTGATTCTTTGGAAAAAAGTCGCATGTGACCCTGACCGATGTGGAGCCATGAAGATAAGCAAGCACTACCACGTGACACGTGAGCCTTCCCGTGGATCTCATATCATTTCACCCTCTATTCAAATTAGCCCAAAGTGCA